ATGGAAGTCGATGTTGGCTCCGCGGACCGGGTGACGTCGACATGTTTTTTTTTTTTTTTTTTTTTTCTTTTTTTTTCGGAATATAGAGCATATGCTAATACAGGAAGACGAAGAATAAAAACTGTAGTTTTATTTCACTCCTTGACTTTTAATTATCAAATGCTTAGTTTAGAATTATCCAGAATGCAGGTTTTGGGCAACGATGCTTCTGTCATTGTGAAGGTTATGATTTACTGCGGAGAATAATGTCTACTGACGTAGTTGTAATTACTGACTAAATAGATAGATACATGCATACATATAGATAAATAGATAGACATAGATATAAATGTATATGTGCGTATGTATGAATGTATGTACACACACGCACAATATATATATATATATATATATATATATTATATATATATATATATATATATATATATATATTATATTATATATGGATGGATGGTGTATAAATATATGTATATTTATATATATGTATATATATGTATATATATATAATATATATATATATATATATATATATACCCTACAGACTAACCAACCGCTTAACGTGCATGTACCCACCCACCTATATCATATGTCCGATGCAACACCGTGCAATGCTCGTGCCCTTCTCCTCCATTCTGTCTGCCTATCCTTATCACCCCACCTTATCCTCACACTACATCCCCACGAGTCCACCACACACACTTCACAACTTCCACACTAACTCACTCTACTCTCCCCTACTTATTTTCCTCGCGCTCTCCATCCCCCCCACCTCTTTACCTTTACCTCACGCTCCATACTCTACTTCTCCCCTGCATTTCTCCCTCTCCCGGACGTCCACTCTAGTATCCCTCTATTTATCGGACCATTCGATGCCTACTGTAACAAAGTTTATATACTAATATTATGCCTAAACAGTACTGGGTCACTTAAAATATGAGAATTACGTGGTGTGCTGCTAGTGTACTGCTGACTCGCCATCTGTGTGTGTGTGTGTGTGTGTGTGTGTGTGTGTGTGTGTGTGTGTGTGATGTATTGTAGAGAAAGTGAGAGAGAGAAAAAAAAAGAAAAGAAAGAAAGAAAGAAAATTGCTATACACACATTTAATGTGTTCAATTACAGGGGGCCAAAGATGTCAAAGGCTATTATATATACATACATACATACCATATCAGTTATACCTCACATAGCGAATTTCCACATTTTTAGATAGTCGTATATAAAATACAATATAATGATTTTGCGGAATATATTATCCCAAATTTACTTTTCCATTCGCACTATGATTGAAATGATCTATAACATACACACGATTGGTCATAAACAGGAGATTATTCTACGGCATTAAATCAGTACCATGCTATATATATTATGTGTGTGTGTGATTGATGTAGTGAGTGGGTGGTGTGTGTGTGTGTGTGTGTGTGTGTAACTCGGGGTCTTATGTCGAGTATGACGACCGCTGCTGTGTTGCCATATATTAAGGATAATTTACGCCTAGTGACCATTAGTCTACCGTTTCCCATATATTAAGTATAAAAATAAGGCATAAATATAGCAGGCTATATAAAGGCGCGTTTAGTCAAGGTGCTTTAGTAGGAGCACTATCATTAGCATGCGGTATAAATGAAACTCGCGTAAGGTTATGTCACATTCCTTAGTCACAGTACCGATGATATTAGCTTGCTTATAGCGGTACCTAAAGGGATTATAGGTATGATCACGTGAGCCATGTTACATACAGTCAAAGAGACGAAATCAGGGCTGAGTACAATTTCATGGGACTGTTGAATCTCTTTGGTGCGTTGCACACACATAGCAGGCTGTAAGAGCATTTACGTGTGTATCGAAACGCCGGAGGAAGACTGGTCATAATGGATAATTACCCTGCGCGCGCCTTTGAAACCTTTCATCTCGAGTTAAACCAAAGCCTGACGTCTAGAAATATAGAACGATTCTTAGAAGTGTCTCGTGTTTTGCTGGGGTTTATGCATGCACGGATTGCGGAATGCGAGCGGCCGCCGATGGCGAATGTCTACATGCGGAAGAATGCTATGACATCTTGTGTGTTGCTGTTGTTTCTGATGCTCACGTTGTGCGAGTGTATTGAATTTGCAGTCTGTTATTTGGGGGAGATACGCACAAGAGGGTGAAGGTCTCTTTGTTTTCTCATTTCATAATGATAATGTGATTAACAAATATTCTTATATGTTGCTCAGATAATTGATAAATAATATAGTATCGCGAGAAAAGATAGTGATATTGTTATTTTTCTATTTATTTAATCCATGAAAATAATATCTATTATTCTTATATTGTGGAGTAGCATTGTTATCTTTCCTTTTTATTATCATTCATTGGTTGTATATTATTATAATAATTATTATTAGTAAGTAATTCATAAGAAGATTGAGATTAAGCAGTTAGCGAGCTAAGTAATATCACAATTATACTATAAATTATTTATATGGATACAAATTTTGAATACAACAAGATAAACACTCTTACCTTATTATTGGATGATCGAACGAATATAAAAAAAAAGATCATAAAAAAAATGTATAAGTGAATTATAGATTACGAGTTATACTATTATGCCGAATTCAACAAATATTATTATCTCATAGTATTATCGAAAAAATCATATGTGTGAAATATGAGTCATTATATACAAGTAGTTACAATATTGCACTTTGTTTACAATAACCAATCATACTACAGTATGCACTAGAGTTTGCCAACAGGTATATGAAATATCGATGAAAAGCAGTTATATTAAGCGAACTACGGCAATAACCACAAAACGCAATAAACATATGACCAAAACAGTACCATTATAGAGATAACACACAAACACAACACAACACACACAAACGAGACAACCGACATACACCCGAACAACACATTTATAGCGTGAGTGTCCACTAGTCACGCGCTCTCGGATCAGTTTATCTACGCACATGTAATAACACCCTTTCTGCAGTCACTAACGTCAAGGCCGGATGATTTGCCAGCCTCGTTCAGATTCCAGAAGTAGTTAGACAACCACTAGCCCACGAGATAAATCCTGCCTGACGAGACCCTCGGCCTAATCAACATTATTACTATTCGTCAACAAAGATAAAACTGTGTACGAAACTAGCGCCACTTTTTTCTCTGATCTAACCTCTTTTTCTGGTAAATGCTGTGTGGCTGTCGGGGGTTTTTGATCTGTCCGTTGAATTTACGAATCTAAAATCATATCTAGACTTATCTGTCCCGTGAATTCCTTCAGTTGTCTGCGTCCGAGGACTGAGGAGATTAGTAGAGATGAGATAGTTAGTCTCGCTAACATCGAAGCAAGAGGAGTATAGGAGATGATGCAAGTAGCTAGGGATTGCGGATAATGAGGGAGAGAGAGAGGGAGAGCAGATTATAGTATCCTAAGATTAGTCGGGGATCATGAATAATCCTATATTGAGATTGAGTACGATTATTATTGCAAAGATGAGATGAGGTATTCATCATGGGATGTAGGGTATGTCCATGTTAGCGATAGAGATATTTAGTGTGCAAATGTAGCGAGAGATTATCAGATTAGTGCGGTACAATAGATTATCGGATTAATTAATTGCTAGAGAGAATTGAAGGGGATGGAGACATAGAATTGAGATGATGATGAGTACGAGATAGATTTATGGCCCGGAGTCCATCATATTATTATTATTATCATAATGATTATGCATTCGTGAGTAGCAAGAGTAATCGGGAGAGAATGAGATAACATGGAATACTATTATGTATAGTGTGTGAGCTGTCGTATGATCACAGCTATTATCAGTGATTCATTTATGATATGAGGAGATTGTAATCACGATGAGACAGAGAATAGTAGATGAGATAAGTAATATGAATAATATTATGAGAGAGAGAGAGAAGACGTAGTAAAAGTAATTAGAGAGAGGAGAGTAGAGAGAGAGAGATAGAGTAAAACAATAGAACAAGAGAGAGACGTAGAGGAGTCAGACAGACAAACAAATAGATACAGAGAATATAACAGATAAGACAGACAGACAAACAGATAGAGACAAAGAAACAGAATAGACAAACAGCGACAACTGAGAAAGACAGATACACTCAACAGAGAATAGATATAGAAAGAGGGAGCTCTGAGCCAACAGCGCCAGGATGCTATATTCGCAAGGAAACATCCCCAGCTGACTGCCCTTGCTCTGTCCGTCGGGTCAACACACACACACAAAGACATCAGTGTTAAGGGAAGCCGTAACAAGATGCAGTTAATTCCACGCCATTCTCCTTTTGAAAGCCAGATGCACGAACTGTTACCCATTATGACAAACGTGAGAGGCCGACTTATCTTCCTTTGTGTATCATTTTTTCTGTTTTTTTCATTTTTCTCTTCTGTGAATAAGTTTATTCTTGTTTTTGAATAATTTACAGCTCGAAACGAATGCTTAGCTTACCCTGTTCCCTTTTATTTGTAATCACATAGACCATCGAATAATGAATTATAATATATGTAAGCGTGTTTCTCCTTTCGGATATATCTGTGTAGGAAGTAGTTGGATGCTAGACACCGAAACGAAGCATATTTCACATTCTTATCTCTGCTCTTCATATTCGTTCGTCCTGTTTATTCTTATAAAATATAAAATACCACGTCTCTCCTATGATTATCATCTAATGAACCGCCTAATATGCGTATCCGACTGAGTGTGCGGTAGTTGAGGCTCGATAAACTATGTCTCAATTGAGTATCCAGTCCGATACAGATGACTAAGTTATCTCATAGTGTATTTGGGCATTTTAAAAACCAATAGATAAACGCGAACCACCAATACTACCAGTATATATTATATTTAAATAAATACCCACCACGTTCAGCGAGGCGACACACGAGTCACATCAGCACGAGCAGCCACGCCACAGCACAACAGGCTATACCTCATTGCGACACAACACACAGCGAGAACACACACACGACACACCAACAGGCACTAGCGATGGCGCAGCGTAATCCCCGGATCCGCACAGCGTGAAGTCCGCGGCTTAAAGGAAGCAATCATAAAAAAATTCTGCAGGCGCCCACGTTCTCTTGGCGATCCGTGGCGTTAGGACGTGAAGGTACAGGTGGCGGGTACTACCTTTCGCGCATTAAGGCGTGGGCGCTAATAAGCACGTGGCACAGGGAAACCGGCAACGCCCACGGAACCCCACTACATGGAAGGCTGTGATTGAAACAGGCACTACTAGTCGCCCTTTATTGTACGCCCGAGGATTATCCTTTGATAATAATATATATATATATATATGTATATATATATGTATCTATATATATAGTTCTAGATACACACACACACACACACACATACACACACACACACACACACACACACACACACACACACACACACACACACATACATATATAATATATATATATATATATATATATATATATATATATATATATATATATATATATATATATATTATATATATATATAATATATATAATATATATATATATAATATATATAATATTTTTTTTTTTTTTTTTTTTTTTTTTTTTTTTACACACATACACGTACATACATATAGATATAGATACATAGATGAATAGATAATAGCCCTAGAGACCGCCGCAGAAACCGCTCCGCCCTCGTCCGTCACGAAGCCGACTCTCAGCCCGTCAGACAAAGGCAGTTCGCGCCGTCGACGTCAGTGATGGATGAGGAAGGCTCGGAGGCGGTCGACGCTGCTCTCGGGTCCTGCCGGGGTGTCGGGTGCAAGGGAGGGGGGGGGAGGGTCTTGGGTGGCACTGGGGTCGCGCGTGCATTGGGCTTTCTGGGGGGTCCATTGGCACGCCGGGGATGGTTGTGTTTTCAGTTATCGAATTTATCTTTTTATTCCTTTATCTTTTCAATATCATTATTTGGATTGATAATGTTTTTTACAAACATATACGCCAAAAATCGAACCCTCTTAGAGATAGTTCAAAGGCTTTACATTTACCATCGCTTCATTACATCGTATATTTCACATAATATAAGGTATCCTGAACTATAGTATACCTTGGGAAACGGAAAATTGGAATTATGAAACAACTAGTTGAAAATTTGGGCGCTGTGCTTGAGTGAGAATAAATCAGCCATAATGGAATGTTTTTTTTTATGAAATGTATATTTATGGTTGAATCATTGCTTAACACGCTAATGCCATACGTATTACAGTTATATTTTGTCTAATTGTTTTGTAGAATCTTAAGAACTATCTAATATTATTTTTATTGTGGATACACATACAAAACACACACACACCGTAGCTCTTCGAGAACGAACGTATACATAATACTGCTGACGTATGCAAAAGACAAGAGAGTTTATGAACTTTGCTTAGAAATTCAAATCCAAAATGTTACAGTTTGGCAAATTGGTGTAAGATAATATTGTTTTAGAGGTAAACTGATAACACAACAGAGAGGGGAGGAAGAGAAATAAAAAGTAGGGGTAAAGCATTGATTGCGTATGTATATATTCTACCACCATACAATCATGCTAACGTATGAGATAACAATGTATATGTTCTACCATTATACAAAGTTTTAAAGATGATAACGCATGAAAGAACAATGTATATGTTATACTATTATACAAACATGAAATAACAGTGTATATGCTCTACCATTATACAAACTTTTAAAGATGATGACGTATGAAATTATAATGTCTATCATCTACTATTACACAAACTGTTAAAGATGATAACGTCTGAAATCCCAATGCCTAACAACCCTTTCCGCGCGCAGGTTCGTGTCCCAGCTGAGTGCGTCGTACACGTCGACGAGGATTCACTGCGAAAACATCCCTGGTCTCGTGCGGCGCCAGAGGGTGCTATGTGAGCGGCACCCCGACGCCATGCTCGCCGTGACCGAGGGTGCCACGATGGGCGTCCAGCATTGCCAGAAGCAGTTCCAGGATTCCCGTTGGAACTGCTCCACCATTCCACGAGATGCGTCTGTGTTCGGGAGACACGTTCTGCGAAGTGAGTGTTCGATCCCCCGCTCGGACTTGGTGGAGGTTGCTGAGGCTTCATTGTGTTTTCTCCTTCTTTCTTCTTCTTCTTCCTTTCTTTTGGGACTATTTTTTTTTAAAATTAAAGATATGTAATGTAACTTTTGAATTATCTGTTGTTATTTGTCTCTGAGCTAAGTTATGCCTGATGCAGGTACGAGGGAATCTGCCTTTGTCTACGCCATCAACAGCGCGGGGGTTGTGCAAGCGATCACGCGAGCTTGCAGTCGTGGCGCCATCATGAACTGCGCCTGTGACATCACCAAGAAGGTAAGGAATTCTCTCAGAACGGACTCAAAAATATTTTCTTATTAGAATCCACTTTCGCCGTGTGCAATTGACGGTATTTCATGATACTAGTTACTCTGGGATTTTTGAGTCACTTTTTTGCGTCACTAACATCGAAAAGAGTCATTCGTTGTTAAACCATATTGCTCTTCCTTAACTTTACGACCGTTCGGATCTAACGCTGTCCGTCGCTGCCACTAACGATGCCTCCCACACGAGCGTAAGTGAGGCTACAAAAGATAATCAAATCAGGTTCTGGAGGCAAAGGAAGACCTCCGCGCTGTACCGAAAAACAGGAAGAGTAAAAAAAGACAAAGAAGAAGAGAATTTGACGAATAAGGACACAAAAAAGAACCGCGGAGAGCCGTCCACTGCGGCGCAGGATCCGACAGGCGACATTTAAACCTCCTTAAGATCAGTTATTTTACACCTTCGGATAATTATCCAGAGTAATAAAAATAAGGGAGGATAAAAAGAAGATATATTGCGCTACTTTTCGCCAAACCAGTTGTTATAAAGGGAGCGTTCGTCTAAGGGAAGCACAAAAACGCAGAATCCTTGATGTGGCTACAGCGGGCGACGGAGCTGCGCCTCTTCTCCTGTCCTCTTCTTCCCTCTTTTCCTCTTCCTTCCTCTTGGAAAATGCTTCCTTGCTTTCCTCTTCTCTTCCACCTCCTCTTAAGAGATATTTTCCTCCTCTCCTCCTCTTTTCCCTTTTCTCCTTCCCTTCTTCCTTCTTCTCCTTTGGAAAATGCTTCCTTTTCTCCTATTCTTTTTTTTATCTCCTCTTCTCTCCCCTCCTCTTAAGAGATATTTCCCTCCTCTCCTCCTCTTCTTTCCTTCTTCCCTTCCTCTTGGAAAATGCTTCCTTCCTCTTATTCTTCAATTTTCTTCCCCTTCCCTTCCCATCCTTTTAAGAGATATTTCCCTCCTCTCCCTCTTCTCCCTTCTTCTGCCTTTCTCCTTCCCTTCTCTTGGAAAATGCTTCTTTTCTTCTCCTTTCTTCCTCTTCCCTTCCCTCCCTCCTCTTTTCCATTTTTTTCTTCCCTTCTCCTTCCCTTTCTCTTGAAAAAGGAATCCTTTCTCTCCTCTTCTTCCCTGTTCTTCCTCTTCCCTCTCCCTCTTTTTATAAGATGATTCCATCCTCTTCTCCTTTTCCTCTTCCCCTTCCCTTCGCCTCCTCTTGGAAGATACTCTCTTCCTCTCCTCTTCATCTTATTCCATTCCTTCTTTCCATCCTTTGAAAAGCTGCTTTTTTCTTCTCCTTTCCTTACCTCTTCCTCCTTGTTTAAGATGACTCTCTCCTCTCCTCTCCCTTTCTTCCTCCCCTCTCTCTCCCTTCCCTTCCCGCTCCCCTTCCCCTACTCCTAGGAGATGCCTTCCTTTCCCCTTCTTTTCTTATCCCCTCTCTTCCCTCCCTTTCTCTCCCTTTCCTTCCCTTTCCTTCCTCCTTTCCTCCCCTTTCCCTCCCTTTCTCTCCCTTTCCTTCCCCTTCCCTCCATTTCCCTCCCTTTCCCTCCCTTTTCTTCCCTTTCCTTCCATTTCTCTCCCTTTCTTTCCCTTCTTCTGTAAAATAAGAAAAACATTTTTATACTTTTCTTCTGTTCTGGGATGATACAGTCGCCGCGTTATGAACGTTTGTATCACGTTTTCCCTATGTGGAATAACCCTTACGAAAACAATATATTCTCTTGATATATTACTATTATTGTTGAGCGTTTGAAGTCTGCTGATACCTGCGTCGGTTTGTATAATCGTTCAATTATATTTACATCGCGATAACTATGTCGTTCGATATGATGAGACAGCATGATGAGGAAGGCTCGTTCTGTGCTGGCTACTGTGTCCAACGCGAGATGTGAATTTTTATTTTGATATGATTCAACGCAATAAAAACACTCTCAGATGATAAACTGGTTAACAAATATGAAAAAGAAAGAAAAAAAAAAATATTCAGTTTGTTTTTCTTTATGAGAGAGTATTTTGCCATTCAGTACTATGCCATTTAGTTATAACCAGTACCAAGGTAAACCAACTGCAATGGTATACATGGTAAATACATATACCGTACATTTACCTTCTTAAGGGCTTACATTACCCAAAATATGGCTTATGTGCATTGGATTGCCATCGCTTTCAACATGCAACATTTGGCAGTGTGATTTTCTTGTTATATCTTGAAGCATTATGTGTCAGTTTATGTCCTCTGGTGTTACTGTGGCGACATACTTACAGCACATACTTACAAATTAAATCTCCCGATTGTTTATTCTTTTATCCCCAGTCACATCAATTCCTCAAAAAGGAAAATAGATCAAGAAATTGAACATGCAAAGTATTCCATGACATTTTTATTCATTGAATTCAACGCTGCAGTTCATTGGGCATGTACCTATTAGCCTTTCATTATTCATTCATTATTCACCTTTCATTTACCTGTCACTCATCTATCATTCACCAGTCACTCACCTGCCACTCATCTGTAACCCATGTATCACTCACCTGGTCATTTTACCTGTCACTTTCTTGTCACTTGCCCATCACTCATCTACCATTTCCTAGTACTTCACTTGTCACTCACCTACCCATGGCTCAACTACCATTCCCTTGTAATTCGTTAAATATTCGCTTAGCATTCACCTGTAATTTACTATCATTTACCCACCAGTCCTCTATAAATCACCTGTCACTTACCTGTTCTCCTATAACTCACCTCTCATGCATTTACCATTCCTCTACATCACACTTATGTCTCACTTACCATTTTCCGTCTAACTTGCCCCCCCCCCCCCTCACCTACCATTCCCTCTTTCTCACCTCTCTCTCACCTCTCACGCACCCACCATACCTCTTTAACTCACTTGTCACTCAATTACCTTTTCTCCACTAATACAATTCTCTCTCTCACCTGTCTCTCGCTCACAGTTCACTCCACTCAATTACCTTTTCTCTCTAACTCACCGCTCTCGAACCTACCATATCCCCTATGACTCACATGCCATTCCCCTATGACTCACCTACCATCCCTCTACTCTACCACTCCCCCTCCAACCACCTACCATACTCCCTCCAACTCACGTACCAACCCTTCCAACTCACCGTACCATACCCCCTCCAACTCACGTACCATACCCCTTCCAACTCACCTACCATTTTCCCTTCTAACTCACCTCTCTCGAACCTACCATATCTCCCCAACTCACCTACCATACCCCCTCTAACTCACCTCTCTCGAACCTACCATATCTCCTCCAACTCACCTACCATACCCCCTCCAACTCACTTGCCATACCCCCTCCAACTCACGTACCATACCCCCTCCCAACTCACGTACCATCCCCAACTCACTTGCCCCCCCTCCAACTCACGTACCATACCCCCTCCAACTCATTTTCCAACCTCTCTCGAACCTACCATATCCCCTCCAACTCACCTACCATACCCCCTCCAACTCACGTACCATACCCCTTCCACTCACCTACCATACCCCCTCCAACTCACCTCTCTCGAACCTACCATACCCCCTCCAACTCACCTACCATACCCCCTCCAGCTCACTCACCTCTCACCTGCCTCTCCCGCTCTTCCAGGGGAGCCACAGGGACCGGATGGGGCAGTTCACCTGGGGCGGCTGTTCCGACAACATCCGCCACGGCACTGCCTTCGCCCGACGCTTCATCGACGCCCATGAGAGGCGGCAGCGAGACGCCCGCGCCCTCATGAACTTGCACAACAATCGGGCGGGACGTAAGGTAGGTCAGGAGGGGTCGTGTTGGGTCAAGGGTCATGTTAATGATTAAGGAGCCGGGGTGAGAGATAGAGGAGTATGGTGTTCGGAAAAGTCGGAGAGAGAGAGAGAGAGAGAGAAGAGAGAGAGAGAGAGATAGAGATAGAGGGGGGAGGAGATAAAGAGAAAGATAAGATACATAAGAGAGGAAGTCAAGATGTTAGGAGTAAGATACGATGTCAGGAAAAGGTCAATCGCGGTCAGCTAGAGCGTTAGGAAATATAACACAGATCAGATTTTAATCAAGATATCGAATTCGAAAATTTAGAATTACCATAAAAAATCAGGTCAAAAAAAGAGTTTACTGACCATCGATGTGTAAAAAAAAATAGTCAAACACGAAAGGAAAATAAAGAAAATGAAAAAAAAATCGTTTAAGTAGAACAAACTCGAGGAAACGAAAGTGGGACGCAGATCACTTGATGGATGAGGAGGTAATGGTGGTGAAGTTAGAAATCTGGCTGATGTGTGTAACAAGAGGAGAGAGAGAGAGGAGAGAGAGGGAGGAGGGAGGAAGAGAGAGGGAGACGAGAGATTGAAAGTGAAAGAGAAAGAGAGAGAGGAAGAAGAAGAAACAGAGAGAGAGAGGGGGAGGGAGGAGGGAGAGAGAGAGAAAGGAGGGAGGAGAGAGGGAGAGAGAGGGAGAGAGGGGTGGGAGAGAGAGAGAGAGAGGAAGAAAGAAACAAAGAGAGAGAGAGGAGAGAGAGATAAAAATAAAGAGAGAGAATGAGAGAGAGGGGGGATAAAGCGAGAGGGAGAGAGAAGAGAGAGAGAGAGAGAGAGAGAGAGAGAGAGAGAGAGAGAGAGAGACAGACAGAGAGACAAAACAGACAAGATAGAAATAGATAGATAGATAGGAGAGAAGGTGCGTTTGCATACATACACAAACACACACAAATATTTGTATGTCTATAAATCCATATACATATATGTGTTATATATACATATATAATATATTATATATATATATATATATATATATATATATATATATATATATATATATATATATATATATATATATATATATTATATATATATATTACATGATATAATATATAATATTATATATATATATATATTATAGTATATATATATATATATATAATATTATATATATTATATCTACATATATAAATATATATATATATATATATATATATATATATATATTATATATATATATATATACTACATAATATAATATATATATATATATTATATATATATATATATATAATATATATATATATATACATCTATATACGTACATAGATAGGATAATGCATAGATTGATCATATATAAGAAAGGAGAAGAGAATATAAGGAGGGAGAGAGGTGAAAGGTGGTGAAATAGAATAGGTAGAGCGGTAATCGAAGAGCTGAGTTCAGTTACGATCGTCAGGTGGAGAGGGGGGAGGTATAGTGGAAGGTTGTGTAGGATAGAGTGAAGAGGTGAAAAGGTAAGATATAAGATAAGATATAGTAGTTGATAGTTAGAATATGAGATATGGTTATATATTATTAATGATAGTAAGTGGTAATATAATTGGTGTATAAGTATAGTGTAATAGGGATATAAGTATAGTATTATGATAGTACAGTATATAGGCCATATATATATTAGTATAATAGTATAGGGAATAGGGGGGAGGGAGGGAGGGAAGGTAGTAGGACTATTCAAAAAGAGGGATAGTAGGGTAAGTAATTACATATAGGGGGAAGGAGGGAGGGTGAGATGAAGGGATACTTGGGACAGAGGGATGAGAAACAATAAGGCGATGAGTAAATATGGTGGTAAGGGTAATAAAGAGTAGTATAAGATGAGAGAGGTTGGGATGTATATACTTTAGTATTCAGGGGGGGTATATAAGGGAAGATATGTGGTGTGGTTGTTCGTGGATTGTTTGGTGTGTGGCGGTGGTGTGTGTGGTGGTGGCTGTGTGTGTGTGTTGTGTGTGGTGTTGTTGTGTTGTGTTGTATGGTTGTGTGTTGTGTGTGTGTTGTGTGTGTGTGTTATGTGTGTGTGTGTGTAACAGCACTATATATATATATACTTATATATATATATATATATATTATTAAATATAACATATATTCATATAATATATATTATTATATATATATATATTACATATATATATTTTATTTTAATATACAAATATAATGATATCATATAATATTATATACATATAACTATATTATTATTTATAAAATTATATATAATATATATATATGGTGTTTGTGGTAGTGTGGTATGTCAGATTATAATGGTGTGGTGTTGTGTTGGTGGGTATGTGGTGTGGTGTTGATATTGGATGGTTATGTTTGTGATGTAATATTATGTGATATAGTAGGTAATCATATTATATATATATTACATATAATATTTATTATGTATATTTATATATTCTTCTATCATGCATATATCAATTATATATTGTATATTATCTATATATATATATTCTATTAATATTTATATGTATATTGTGTGGTGTGGTGTGTGGGTGGTTGTGTGGGTGTGTGTGGTGTTTTAGTATGTGTGATGTGTGTGTTGTGTGTTGTGAGTTATAGTGTAGTATTGTATAATATTATCTCCATCTATATTATTATATATTCTATTATAATACTATTATTTTGTACATTATATACATATATATATTTTAATATTTATTATTTCTTTCATTATTATCTTATTATTACTTCTTATATCTATATTATATATATCTATTAACTATAATATAATATTCAATATGATATTATGTATTACAATATAATTCTTATATATCTTTATATATTTATTCTATATACATTATAATGTTGTATGTTATTAATTATCATTATCATCCTATTTTAATTAATGAGAGAAGAGAGAGAAGTAGATGTAGGACAGTAAAGAAAGTAGTAGAGAACAGAAGACCACCACTCAACAGGAGAGCAGTGAGGAAACACGGGACAACACCCGCGCAGCTACCAAGAACATAATAAAACCGCGAAACACACAACCAACACACAAAGATCCGACAATGCATGCATACACCCCAGCTTAATTTGTAGATTACATATATCTATAATGAATCTCAGATAACACATGACAAGAGAGTTCCAGCAAGTGTCAAAACATAACAAGTATGAGAACAGGAACATAGCGAATCATCACCTCCCTATTTCCCTTAGTTCTATTATAATTTTTGTTTTTTTTTATTATGTCATTATAATTTTCCTATATCTCTACTTATTATCTCATTCAACTTGTTTCTATTATACAAAATTGCCCACCACCATAATTAATGACCTCATAGACTCACACCACAACACAGAACACATTTTACTACACACTACAGCATATTATCGCTCGTTGTATATTCCATATAGTTCATATAATATATATTATTTCAAAGCCCGCCCCCACCAGATGTATATTATAGAATAGTAGGTATTATATATGTATTATATATATATAACCACACCCTCATTACACTACACTCACTATATTAAATGTTTTGTATAGGATACTAATGGAATAAATATAATATATTTATATATTTAACCCCTAAACCAGAACTTTACATCATCTACCATGATCTATTATATATATTAAAGAAGCACAACAACAGAGGACAACACACCCCATCCGCCGGTCACTCCTACACCCCCTTCCTTCTATAGCACGCTCTCAAACTTCCCACACGCACTTACGACCACACGGCCCAGACATATCACACCCTCCGCCCACACCTCACCAGCCTCCAAGCACCTGGCACGCGTTCGAGCTAGTCAAACCACTACATGATGTAGATTTCACAAGAATTTTAATCTTATATTCTAGGGTAAATAATTGGACCAAATTACGTT